TAATGGTAGCTCATTAGTGGCGAAAAATGGTACTTACAATTCTGTTTCCAGTGGTCCATGATGTCCAAGTTGCAAGTGAGAGGTGCTGAAGGCGATCGTGAGGAGCCCATAATACCTCAGATGTGAGGCTTTGTTAATTGTGTTTTTAACTCAGGTGTTGAAGATTGGCTAAAAACGGAATCTGATGTGAAGTAAGAGCTGTTGTTTCACAGACAATCGGCTCCTCCTCCTCCCTCTCCCTCTTTCTTCCCCCCTCCTATCAACCTGTGTCCTGGCCAGTAGAAATTCTGCTTGACCTGAACTTTACTTAGTGCACAACTTTCTTGAGTCAGTTGAGCTCAGGTTGCTGCTGTCTGCTGTCCTTGCAGATTGGATAGCAATGGTCTGGTCATGTCCATGTGGTAATAAAGTCAGGAAGTCCAGCTGCAATAAAGATGATACTGCTTAGGTTTTTTTTTTTTTTTTTGTTTAACGCCCCACTCAGCAATATTCCAGCTATATGACGGCAGTATGTAAGTAATCAATTCTGGACTAGACAAACCAGTGATTGCCATCATGAGCATTGATCCATGCTTTGGGATACGACGACATGCATCAACCAAGTCAGCGCGCCTGACCACCCAATCCCGTTAGACGCCAGGACTGACATTAATAAAAAGGTAAAGGTTGGATGTATTGACATACAAATTTATTACTATGTTGTGTTACTTTGTTAAGGATTATCCATATACTCCTGAAACTGTACAGAGTCAGAAAATAAAGTCATTGTGACAATTTGTTTGAGCATAAAGTGAAATTACCAGGCAGTTTTTGCACTTCATTTTTAAATAAAGCCATGGCTAGATGCTTTTGTTCTTGATCATGTATGTTACCATGGTTACAATTAGGGCTGTTATGATTCACTCGCGTATTCGGTGAACCGAACCGTAACCATTCATGAATTGAATTCATTATTCATGGCAACTAGAATCGAATATTTGTGAATATGCTATCGTGTATATTTACATACTCTGTACCTAGAAATATCCATAACAACATATTATATGCATAGATGACAACACTCCAATAATATTTAATTTGACAGTATTGTTGTCACTGGTCATTGTCGCATTTGAGCAGATATTAGTACCTGGATAAGTGCAATATATAAATGTATAATTTATTAATAATTAACAAACCATGTCAAATAATTTATGTTATTGTTTCACTGCAAATAATAAATAATACATAAACTGCTGACTTGTTATTGTAATTGTGAAGTAATATTCGTATTCGTTACCCTATATTCGTGATATGAATCGTATTCGCCTCACAGTGTATTCGTTGCAGCCCTAGTAACAGTGTTGTATTTTAGAAGTTGTTTGTTTTTGAAAGTGATGTTATGATAAGAAATTCTCTGATGAAATATTGAAATGGAACTTGAAAAGTCTTAACTACTTCACTTGATGAAATTTGTAATTGTAATTTTGCTGCAATCATCCCTCCTTGACTGGGATGAGCTCATTGCTCAAGATGGCTGCCATCTTCCCTCCTTGACTGGGATGTCTCGTTACTCAAGATGGCTGTCGTCATCCCTCCTTGACTGGGATGAGCTTGTTACTCAAGATGGCTGCCGTCATCTCTCATTGACTGTGATGAGCTTGTTACTCAAGATGGCTGTCGTCATCCCTCCTTGACTGGGATGAGCTCGTTACTCAAGATGGCTGCCGTCATCCCTCCTTAACTGGGATGAGCTCGTTACTCAAGATGGCTGCCGTCATCTCTCATTTACTGTGATGAGCTTGTTACTCAAGATGGCTGTCGTCATCCCTCCTTGACTGGGATGAGCTCGTTACTCAAGATGGCTGCCGTCATCCCTCCTTGACTGGGATGTCTCATTACACAAGATGGCTGCCGACTGCCCTCCTTGACTGGGATGAGCTTGTTACTCAAGATGGCTGTTGTCATCCCTCCTTGACTGGGATGTCTCGTTACACAAGATGGCTGCCATCTTCCCTCCTTGACTGGGATGTCTCGTTACTCAAGATGGCTGTCGTCATCCCTCCTTGACTGTGATGAGCTTGTTACTCAAGATGGCTGCCATCATCCCTCCTTGACTGGGATGAGCTCGTTACTCAAGATGGCTGTTGTCATCCCTCCTTGACTGGGATGTCTCGTTACTCAAGATGGCTGCCGTCATCCCTCCTTGACTGGGATGTCTCATTACACAAGATGGCTGCCATCTGCCCTCCTTGACTGGGATGAGCTCGTTACTCAAGATGGCTGCCGTCATCCCTCCATAACTGGGATGAGCTCGTTACTCAAGATGGCTGCCGTCATCTCTCATTGACTGTGATGAGCTTGTTACTCAAGATGGCTGTCGTCATCCCTCCTTGACTGGGATGAGCTCGTTACTCAAGATGGCTGCCGTCATCCCTCCTTGACTGGGATGAGCTCGTTACTCAAGATAGCTGCCATCTTCCCTCCTTGACTGTGATGAGCTCGTTACTCAAGATGGCTGTTGTCATCCCTCCTTGACTGGGATGTCTCGTTATACAAGATGGCTGCCATCTTCCCTCCTTGACTGGGATGTCTTGTTACACAAGATGGCTGTCGTCATGCCTCCTTGACTGGGATGAGCTTGTTACTCAAGATGGCTGCCGTCATCCCTCCTTGACTGAGTTGTCTCGTTACACAAGATGGCTGCCATCTTCCCTCCTTGACTGGGATGTCTCATTACACAAGATGGCTGCCATCTTCCCTCCTTGACTGTGATGAGCTCGTTACTCAAGATGGCTGTTGTCATCCCTCCTTGACTGGGATGTCTCGTTACACAAGATGGCTGCCATCATCCAGACTTAACCAGGAAGTTTGGCTGTGATGAACTCATCAATAGCCCTGCTATCATCCAGACTTAACCAAGACATTTGGCTGCGATGAGTCCATCACACAAGATACTTATTCTCTTCTGACCTCTAAGTTCTATCCATTCTGTCACCTTGAATAGTTTTTAATGTCTCTCTCCATGATAGCTGTAATGATTTAGAAAAAGTGGAATTGGTTGTCCATGAAATGAAACTTTCTGTTCCTTTAGCCTTTCCTCCTAATCCATCTCTCAGATGAAACTGGCTTCTAGTTTCTTTGTGTTACTTGGAAGATTTGTGTTTTTAAGTTTGAAAAGTAACTGGATGTGTTGCTAATTTTCAAGTGATTTCTCATACCATTTACATACTGTACAAGCATGTTTTGTAGGTTGTCGTTGTACATTGAATCTTCAATGCAAAGTCACAGGTACCACAAGACCAAATAGCGTCCATTCCAATTTGGAATGATCGTTGGATTTCTTTGGAAAGATCGCTCATTCCAACATTTCCAAAGCTTGGAAAGATCGATCTTTCCAAAAAATCCAAAATTGGAATGGCAACATTTCCAAGCATATTTCCAAAATTGGAAATGTTTGGAATGGCTTGGAATGGTTTGGAATGGTTTGGAAATATGGTTAGAAGGAAAAAGTTAAAATATGTTTTATCAGTAATTTGGACAATAACAACAGTTATTTATTGAGTTTAAACTATATAACAATATATTTATCTCAAACATTCACTACTTGTCTGTGTAGCGAGGGGCTTTTACAGTCTCAGTCCCTAAGGTGGGAGAGAGACCCGCACTTGACTCGACAAGACCCTAATAGGTCTCAAGATTAAGTATTCGGCTGGATGGCAGCTGCCATTTAATGACAAAACAGACGGTCGTCTAGACGGCTCACATGTAAGTGCGCCGACATGTGCCTAAGATCATAGAATGGACAATCTTTAGTAACATCTAATTGATTGTTGTCTCAGGCCAGAGCTGTGAATAATTCTGTTCATTGAACAATTGGAATTCAGGAAGTTATCAATAATTGTTTTATTTAACATGTTTACGACATAATATTATGACATCAGGACGTACTACAGACAGAACCATATATTTTAAAATCAGTTTGCAATCAGTTTAAACTCTTTAACCGCGGGAAACGAACACTGAATTATTTATGAATGCTTCAATAGAATACAAAACATGTTTTTGTTATCCTTATTACAAACAAAAAATAAAATAATTCCAAACCGACAGATTTCAGATAACCTGAAATTACGCTTCGTGAACAAGTCGGGCGTCCTTATAGACGTGTATTTATGTCATATAATGAGAGACTATGATTTCCAAGTCCCGATTATCATGTCAATGATATATCAGTTTTACCACATGTGCACAGACCGCCTATACTTTTGCATAACTATTCTCAACTGAAAGTCCTATCCTCTTATCAAATATTCTGTGAGAGTAATCATCATTAATATAAGAAAACTCATTCTCATCAAAGAATACAGAACAAATGACTCAGATGCATACATTTATTACCATGCTTCATTCATCACGAAGCAGATTTACATAATTTGTGAACAGCCCTTGAACTGTGATTATGAATTTTACCATTGTCCATATTAACATAATAATATATACATATATACAAAACAGGTCAAGTTTGGAATTTTGAAATATGCCATAAAAGGTAGAAGGAGGGGGGGGGGGGGGGGGGGGGGAGGGGCGATTCCGTCAAACAACTGTCAAACCATTTATTGCCATGTACGTACTTGCACACAGGGAAGTCAGCGCTGTCTGGGGCTCCAGGTAAATAAACATCGTGGTTTTATGACGGGAGATCAGACGAACCGTGAACCAGAGGCATGCGACGTAATTACACCAGGGTATTGTCTCTTGAACTGGCTAATTGACTTCATATAATTGGTAAATATATTCGTTTTGACGACCGTGATTCATGCGCATCCCGGCTCATTAAGTGGGCTCCAGGCCATAAAAACAAAACCACAAAAAACGCCCCAAACTAATACAACAGATAAAAGCGCCAACAATCTACGTAAACTAGGTAAAGACATAGAAATAGTTTGGATCCCTGCCCACGTTGGGGTGTTTGGCAACGAACATGTAGACAAAGCAGCCAAATCAGCACTAACATTAGAAGAAGTAAGCATCCCAAGCATCAACCTACCAAAATAAAAAAAAAGAAGTTAAAAGTATCTCAAAGGAAAATAGCGGCAAAATAACAATCAGAAATATGATTGCAAACTAAAACGCCACTCAAAAAAACATATCCATCATAAAACCAAAAACATTGACAGAGTAATAACCAAACTACAAACAGGCCACACTAAGTTAAGCTCTCACCTACACCTAATTAAAAAAACCACCAAACCGGTAAATACCCCCACTGCAACTTAAAAAGAAACGCCCGAACACGTATTATTCCCGTGTGACATTTACATTTAGAGCGCCCTATTCAATACTTTATGGAACACATTACCAGCAACACAGACCAAACAACACTCCAATCCTCACTAAATTGCAACAATCACATGACTGTACTGAACCCCCTACATGACTTTAAACCTTTGAAGCACTAAGCATATATCTAATCAAACCAGGCCTACTTGGCCGCATTTAAAAAAAAGGACAAAAAACAAGCTGCCAATAAACCCTAAAATTCCTAACCTATAAAAACACCCCTTTTAGTAAGTAAGTAAGCATGTTCTGATGAGGATATGAATGATGATGATTCTAAACTACTCCATGGTATGTCAGTGCTGAGCTGACCCAGCTGTCTTCTTTCTGCAACCAGGCAGGAGGTGGTGCAAATGACGAGACACCTGTAATTCGTCTCGTCCGTGGTACGATGGACGCTGCTGTCTTGGTTGTTTTACTAAATGTCTCGTCGGCCACTTTTTTAGCGGCCCTCATTTCATGACTCTCCCAGTCCCTCCTTCTCACATTGAAGACCCGGTTGCCATCCTCGTCGACCGAACTCTCTTCTGACGACATGAGCTGCGTTTTTTTCATTACTCGAATGTACTTGGTCCTTGTGTGATGAGGTAGTTCGGATTTTTCAATGCCAGTTACACGGTTTCTGCTTTTCTGAAAGCAAAACCGTTCACTTTATAACACCCACCTTTCTTAAACACGAAATAAAACGAAGACAAAACAGAAATGTGCCCATTACTTCAGTAGAATAGTTTGTCCTGAGCATGTTGTGTTTAGAGTCACTATAAATCGAAATTCTGTAAATGGGAAGAAATATATATCTAAATCTATAAAAAGAAGTCTACAGATAATCTTCAAGTTTCAGTAACATTAACTTACAACTCATAGTACATATTATTTGCAGTTGAACTCCTAAAGTAAAACTCACTGCGTACAAGCAGGAGTTATTTAAGACGTTTTAATGCAGGAATAACAAACATGAAACATTTTATTCTCATTTCAGAGAAGCAATTGCAGCAACTATAGTTATACGCATCGTTACATTCCTAACTATCTATCTGGTACTTGGTGTGAATATTAGTCACTCCCCACAGAGTATGAAACATGAAACATTTCGTAGTATAGATAAATATACTACCAAAAGACATGTTACAACAATGATCTGAAGGTATGATTGGATTTATATACGTTTTAAAATGACACGACATTTCTAACAACATTGGAACATATCGCAAGTAAGGGAGATATGTCAGTTACGATTCCGATATTCTGGTTTTGTTTATCAGAACAATTTAAGAAAAATCTCTGTGGAATGGCTGGGCAGCTGAGTGGTGATCTGCTCGAGGCTAATTTGTGTCGATTTAACATGTTTGACAACGAAAGTCCGGATCGATAGTAATGTAACTCATCAATATAGAATATTTGGTAACGGAAAGAATTGGATAGTACATAGTACATTTAGATAAGAACGTAGTGAAATAAATGGCTACAAATTTGATAGATTTGCTCCTCATAATTTATCTTCTAGTTGTGGTTACTTTTATCAGGGTAATGTTCATTATCTGTTTCAGTACCCAAGGTACAGTCCTCTGAGATGCAATAGTAAATTATGTGGAAGGAATTTGTCTGGAGGGAACTTCATATAGGCATTGTCTGTTGGCCTTCTTTATTTGAGATAAACCATTCTTTAAATCATTAAAAACAAATGCTTCCTAATTTATCATATTCTGAGAGTTTCTGTAATTGTATTTGTGGCATATCTACCTCTAACCAATTTTCTATGTGCATATACATGCGGCCGCGGGTGACAGATTTATTAGGGTCATTGGGTGACGCTCAGGGTTTCTATAAAGGTAGAAAGATGGCGTTATGTACCTTTTTATGGCGGAAAGTGTTATTTGTGTAACATTAGTTATTTAGGAAATGATTTCAACTATTTGAATATATTGACAACACATTTACATTGAGGGTGCAATGTAAATTCGTCAAGTAACATTTAAAAGAAACTATTAATTTCTTGCAACGACAATAATAACTACCAAGAAATGGTAAGATTTAAACCTTACCTAACAACGTTTATACAATTCAATATTACTGAGACCGGGCAAAACCCTGCTGTCAAAAGAGAAATTCATACGCATATAATAGCAAGCCAATGATTTTTTAAATTTTGTTGCTAAATCGTATTGCTCAACACAAAATAGTATTGAGGACAACAGGCAACCTTGCCTTACTAGGCTTGGTAATGGAAACATATCCGTCGGATGGGCATTAATGGATACACATGACCTATTATTTCATATATTGACAACTGCTCAAAAATCCGTTTCAGTAATACCTAATTTTAACAACAGAACAGTCACGGTTTACTTTATAAAATGTTTCGAGGCGTGATGTTGACAAACAAAAAGTAGTACGCCTCATAATATCCTTTGATCAATGACCGCTTAAAATGTATGCAGGTTCAGTCGTTTTACTCTTCTGTATATGAATTGATTCAAGCCAGGTAAATAGGAAATTCAATAAGTCAGAGCAAAGTTATACATGGAATATCAAAGATATCCCGAGGTGATTAGCGACACACCTCTTAATAAGTATTATGATGAGTTTATTTCACAGGTTAAAATACTGTGAAAGACTTAAAAAACGATATTATATATATTGACTGGATTCTATTATCTACTAATGTGCAAAACCACAAGCCCTAACCACTGACGTCAGTACCGGCAAAGCACTCGGGAGCATCGCTTGGAATCTTCTTCTTATTATTATTTTCTAAACACGTTGTATGATGATATTGCATTTACATGAATTCATTTGCCAATGTCCTAGTTGACTCTCCGATGCATATGTGCATCAATGGACGCCCAAAATATTATTTCGAAGCTGTTATGCGAATACATGGAAGAATACCGGCAGAGATGTGCCCCACTTTTACTCTTATGTAGAAGACGAGCGAGTGGTAGCTAGACTGGCAAAAAGCTCTTGTAAAATATATACTTTCATATTAAAGGTTAAAAAAAAATCTCTTTCGCGCCTGTGGTTTATTACACCTCCACAACTGTTTTCTGAACAGTGATTGAAATTATAAACAAGTTACACAAGTCGTGTGTGTTGTCCCAGTCATTAGAAGACTGACTAAAATAGCTGAGCTACGCGTGTGTCGACTCTGGCGTTAACTAACAAGACAGAGACTGGGGGATAATAGAAATAGTCTGTCACGTAACACATTGAATATATACAGGTGTCGGGTGATGGTCGTGCCACTGTTCATAACAACATTTTCTCAGCACTAATTACAATGATATAATGACAAAGCAATATATTGACATGTTACAAAGGTGGGCATTATAGACAAGCTAATCAATGCTAGTCAAGTGATCACGGTTTGTTAACTCACGTTGATTGGACAGTCTAGACAACACATGACGGCCTTTCCGTCTTAGAATTGTAGTGTATACTTGTAAAATTACCTGGGGCACTATGTATATATATACACTCATAATATAAACAACAGAAAATTACCCGGGGTGTAAACTATATAAGGGTAAATAGGTAAATATTAAAAGCAGGCAATTTACCAATTTTTATACACCCCGGTTGTCCTAATAAAATTATCTATTCTAATCTATCCTGCTGTTAATTCTGCAAAAAACATATGTATTCCAAATTCCACCTCTCCCTATAACCTTACTCCACTGGGCACCTTTTAATTATATATTAATAAGGCGCCACTCACCTCATTCTAAATTTCTCTTTTTTTTTAACTCGGCGGCCATGGCCAACAGGCCTATATAAAGTCACACCTCAAACACTTCCAACAATTGGCCTTACTTTGCCCAAGTTAAGCTTCACTCAAAATTCATCTTCAATAATCCAAATTTTATATCCTAAGGGGGTATTTAATCCCTCCAGCAACACAAATCTTTCAACTTACCGTCAGTTTCCTTGAATTCTTTCTGGACGCGTCCGTGTGTTCTTTCTCTTTTCCGTTACGTGTTCGGGATAGCTTCTCTTTCTTCGTTAACATGATCCTGGTCATACCATCTGGAACATAATGTTTCTTTCCTTATTTGGATGTGAACTGCAACATACCGGTCTTTTTTCCATATCTTCAAATAGTGTACAGCAAGTCTTTAACCATTAGTTTACCTGTGAATGCTGCATATAATTCTTTCCTGACAGACTAATGGGAATGTTACGCATCATAGATAAGTCATTTCAAAACACTGAAAAAAGGTTTAAATCTTTCCACTAGTAGGCATGTGTACCTTTGCATTGACTTATGGAATTGAAATGTTTTAAAAATGTACATGACGGACACATGCATTTGAAATACACTTAAATGATAAAAATACCTTTAAATTCCTGTTTTGTCATGCTTGGAGCTATCACCTTAGAAAAGTCCCAGATGTATTTGACAACTTGTCGATTCTGTGCGGACTCCAACCTGCAACAAATGTTTTACTTTTATTATATGACCAGAAATATACACATGCCAATAACTATTACATATAATCTTCTTTAACGACTTCAGCATGAACTTATTAACTTATTTTGAAGTAACTAAAAGAAGCAAGATTATTAGGTATAATTTCACTGCATAATTAAGACATATTCGTTTAGATTTGAGATATATTGGTGGTACAGTTTTCTGGTACAAAAATAACAAAAAGATATATATTTATGTGACTGTCTCATATAATTTCCCATTACAAAGATTCCTAAGACTTTATTTATGACTATTTTCTACTGAAACGGGATTCATGGAAGAGAAGTAATCGTGGTGGTATTAAAAAATTATTTTTGCCAAAATTGCGTAACAGTCTTTTTCGGATGTACCTCCAATTTTATCAGAAAAACTTGAGGCACACAAAACTTTGCGACTCGTTCATTGATTATGGAGGTAAAATGAACACTAAAAATGCGATAAGATTTTAAAACAAGCCTATCTATTCATCTGAATAAAAAGTACTGTAATAAAAGTATAAGTGAAACAAAGATAAATTACATATGACTTTTGATAGTTTTGATTAACTTTTATCAGCGACAAACCTATAGGGGTTTAAAAAGAGATAAATAATTATATAGGTTACATACTCGGTCTCACAGACGCAAAGATACACATATCAACAGAAATAGTGCTTACAATGCCACAGCGTTTTCCTGGTGTAAGTCGACTCCAAACAAATGGTTGTCAAGTATGGTAAAAATGATATTTTCGAATTATTTAAATGATTGTAACAGAATGAACATATCGTCTTTTCCAAAATGATCACTGCACACTACGATACTTACGTGAACATAGGCTCCATAGTCCACCCTTTCTCAGTTTCAGCATGGTCGATCGCTGCCTTCAATGCTGCCTAAGGAAGAAAATTGATAAAATATAGTTAACAGACAATAGAAAGAATCAATATTGGTGATTTTATCTGTGAGATAAATCTATCGAAACTTGATATTGTCTTATGAGAAACGCATCGATTACTGTAAATCGTGAAATTAATGCGATTGCTGAACCCAAGCTATTTAAAATAGATACACCTGGCCATTTAAAAAAAATTAAAAAATTACAATAAAATACAGTTGCATCCCACATCCACCTCTGTGGACACACCACAACATACCTACCTCACTCAGATACCTCCATGCACAAATTTACGTAACGTTCACACACATACACTCAAGACATAATTACTTTCATACTTGCATACCGGGGTACATACGAAACTCATACGCATTTACCATTCTGGACACAAACACAACGTTCACGCATACAAACACTTTCTCATCCAAACACACTCATCCAACATACAAAAACACTCTATGCTCCATGTCTACAATATACCGTACCACAACAGTAACAGGTCCATGCGTTGGTTTACAACTTGATTGTTTACAACTTGATTGTAAACAAAGTGGTGTTTTATCATTACACTAGTGCAATCTCCCCCATGCCAAATATTATTTTAGATAAAGAAAGTGAATGCTTTCAAGCCGAAAGTATCTGAATTGAACCTTAATCCGCTTATTAGTGCCGAGTACATCGGGAAAACAATCGTTATGGTGTTTTTCTTCCCAATAACAACACATAGTTTATGTTGATTGCCCTCGTTTAACGAGCTGTATAATCTCGGTCGCTAAACACGGTTTTCCACATATCCGCCGTTTTGATGTTTTGCTGGGATCTTACCCTTATGTTTGTACTGACTTTGCTGGATTTGGTCGAAGTTTGTGTTGGTTCCTGGACCCTGTTGTCCAAACGTGTAACTTTTGCAGTTAGGGCGGTAACCTGGAAATACAAATATAGTGAAAATTGACGGTGAAACGTATCATGGTATGCCCTACTAGTTCACTTACTGTTATATCGCATGATCCAACACTGGCTGGATGCAATTTTTAAAATCAATGTTTCCTTGTAATGACACGTAAATATATATTTAACTATAATTTTCCCCTTGAAACACGATAAATCATATCGAGAATGCATTTTAAACTGAATACAGTGTTGACTATCATCACTTACCTGTGTATTCTTTTCAGTAAGTTTGCTCTTGAGGTCTCTAACCTCGCTGTTTAAGTTTCCAATTTCCTTTTTAAGGTCGCCGACTTCGCCCTTCAAATCTGTAATGGCCCTGTGAAGTCGTCCTTCCATGACCCTCATGAGTTGGAGAAATTCCGCATAGGGGATTGACTTTCCTGTAATTAAGAGAAACATTAAATACTTACATAGCACCTGGATGACCGTTTTACGTTCTGGGAAAAATTCAAGTGCAACCTTCTCCAAAATATGCACTCAAATATCAAATTCAAAATATATTCGAGCCAAACAGAACTACCCCTCCTTGATATTCTTATTAAAAAGAGTAAGCTAATTTTGCCATCAACTGCAATCTGAAGTGTTATAAGCACTAGGTTGCAGTCATTTGAAATCCCGCTGGAATATAAGACAAGCCTCAGCGGCAAACATAAAAAGGATAGTTACATTAAATGATCTTGTTGCTGGTCGAATGTAATTGGTGTTGACGAATGAGTGTTTGAATATCATTAGCTAGGGCATTTTAATGTCGATTAAGCAATCCTTATCAATAATGGAGATGTTCCTCCTGTGTCATTCCGCGTATCTTGTGGCAGCTAAAGATGTGCCAAAATCATATAAATGTATGATTATTCATACAATGCGAAAAATCATTTCATACGTTGTGTGACATACCTTGTCTCATACGAGGAGTCTCAGCTTGAATTGCAGCTTGTTTCTCTGAAACATTAATTTGTTTATCAGATGCCGTATGAGTGCTATTTTCTAAGCAAATTGCAGACACATCGATGCACTACATACCATTGATCGCCGATGGATACGGATTTCATTTATCTTTATGAATATCCATTTAGATGTTGAAAATAACTGCGTGTCTAAGCATACCTACGATAATCTCTGATTGAAATGAAAGCAAATTACATGTTAAACTACACGAATGTGACAAGAAAATTCATGAACCTGCTCATAGAATTGTGTTTGATGAAAATACATACTACAGCTTGAGGCTCTTCTCAGTAAGTCCTGACCGTCATCTTCTCCATCTGCATAGAAAAGTACAATTTAAGAAATGGGCTTGGGTTGATGAAAATATATGAATCAGTTATCTTGAACGTGCTTTATTGCTCGAACATAATAGTTTTTAGACTGCATACATTTGCAAAGTTTATATACATTTTGCCATGCACAATAATTTACAGTTCATGTTTTTCTTTGATGATTGAGCCCTGGACATTTAAAAAGGTAAAGAAATTCATCTGCGACTGCAGGCGAGTCACAAACGTTATACTTTTTTTGCTTCACGTGGACTGCTAAAGCTAACGGTCAGTCCTACTTGTCGTAATTACAGACAGATATTTTATTACAGTCTCACCTCATATTTACAATATAAAATCTATTTAAAACAATTATGTATGAACAACCCATTACAGGTTATGAGAGACACTTTCTGCAATCACAGACACATTTCAACAGTTCAACCTGGCCACTAATTAGGAACCATTATTGTAAAGTTCGGTAAGAAATACCTGAAAAGTCGTAAACTCTTGTCATAGGTGTAGATGAGGCAACTGGACCGCTTCCTAATCTATTCTTTTTTCCATTTTCTTCCCTTTGTCTCAAGATTTTGTTCTTGCGCTTGACTGGACTCTACGATGAGACCAAATACAAAATTAAAATGTTTCCACAATATGGTTATGCGGTAAAACTTGAATTCGTCAAACACTTGTTTTCGACACTAGCAGCAGATGATGTAAACGGGTGATATAAGTGTTAACACATTTAGTAAAACAATCCCTGACAATATGAATATTACATATATAACTGACAGATGTATAACAGATAGTGCACAATGTTCAAGTTTATAATATATTACAACACCGATTTCATTAACATTACTGAAATCAGACCACTTTGACAATGAAATCGTTAATTGATTCAAGAAAGGTATAGACTGGCAGAAACTGAAGCAAAGCGATAGTGGCATGTAGAGCTATGTCTCGTCAGGCCAATGAGGCCGCGTGATCTTAGGAGCGTGAACAACATGGATGCCGCGTTTCGGCCGTACCGAACAGTCAAGCTGCGATCTCGGAGCTGCTCGTCCGATTGAAACCAATTGCAAGCGGAGACAAAATTATCTCCCTTACCCAAACATGATCGTTGCTCAAATCTATCTTGAGTAAATCATGAAATTAATGCGAGCATGACATGTATGCGAAAAATGCGACCGTCATTCCCTCTGATTATTTTTTTATGTTTCATTTCATCATGATAAAACAGTTAGTCACTTATAAGGTTACCAGGTTGAACATAAAAACGATCGTTAACAAAAACGACCAAATTTATTCTCTCATCACTCAGCCTAACAGTGATATAGCTGCACATAAAACGTTCAAGTGCGCTAAAGTATTACACATGGTGGGTGGAGGACCAGGGGCACTTTGAGTTTGACAGGTGCCATCAACTGCTCAAGTAACATCACGGTTTGTATATTCACGTTGATTGGACAGTCTAGGCTGGCGCCAACTAATCATGACGGCGTCTTCAGAACAGAACAGGACTTTATTTATTTAGTCTTCAGATCACTTGTTGTTACTTGAATAAAACTGATATGCATACAGATTTTATTGTTTATGATTTTTTTCCCATGACTTTTTTTCCTAACCTACTCTATGATTTTTTTCAATATTTTTGTCTCGTTCACCTTGGCGATATTCCTTTTGGAACAACACTATGATGATACAATTCAGTTCATACAGACACACATTCAGTCTACTAATAAAACATTCATGTTACTCTATTACAAGAGATCAGCGTATAGTTTCCTGGGACATGAAGAAACCGAAATAAATGCTACAACATTACTTAACTGTCTCACTGTATTTCCTTTTTACAAAATGTTATTCATTTATATTAGAATATAGTTACTGCGTACATTATTGTAAGAGGAAAGATGTTAGACTTAGTATAGATATTTAGTTTTCGGTTCACCTTTTCCCTATTCTGTATCGTTATATTATTTCCGAATGAAATATTGTTTAAATCAAAAATTGTTAACTTCCCCGGATAATCAGTGAATAATCTATTCACTATTTCAATTAATACCTGGTAATTGGTGGCAAATTCCGACGATGTGTCACTCTTGTCCTCCTCGTCGATCTGGTATTCGGATCCTTAAATTGAACATGATAAATATGTTGTAAGTATATAATGCATTGCTTACCTTGAATCTAAAATGCGAATCAGTATTTTGCGATTGACTAGCATGTGTTTCAAACAATATGTAAGTGAAATGGGATTGCTTGATTTTAGCGTGTTTGTAGGGATATGGTCACACATCTGAATACTTAGTTTGGTAGTTTGGGTAAGAAGCATAGTTAAGCCTTTGTCCTATCGAATGATGATAACTGTTCGGTTTTCTTATAACATAAAACGCAGGTAGAATAATTACAATTGAAGAGATACTGATTATAAATTCAGAGGAAAACATGTAGTTTGCATGGTGGAACTAGATTTAGTCAGAACAATCTACTCAAAATGCCAGCCAAATAGAGGAATGATGTTAATAAACTCTATTTCAAGAGCCTGAATTCATATTACTATAAATAATTCATATATCAATTATTTGTCTTAACTTATTAAGAAAATATCCAAATGACAAATAACCCAAAATATTGTAGTAGGTGACTGTAGTAATTAATAATTACGTTTACGATTTGAGAGAAATAAACATACACGCCGTGGTTCCCGTGCACAAATGCCGATGTCATAGAGAATTGGCTAAGTTTCATTGCAAATAAATCGCACACGTATCACTACCCATCATAGAAAATAACAAACTCATGCGGCAGTAACGCGTGTTACCTATGCATATTGTCAAATCAGTGTGAAAGCGGCAGACAGTCAAATTAAGCGGCGCCATACTGTCTATGGTTATTCTCAATGTTTATCAATAAACATGTGGTAATGTCCTCTTTAAATTGGCGTTGAGTCATCGTTAGTCAAGCCTTGACAAGACATTTACAGTGATAACAGGTGTCAATCATTAACTACGAGGAAGTTAAAGTAAACACTCCTAATCTAGAAGCTAATGGAATCCAAGTCACCATCAATAACCAAAAAATAAAAATCATTAACATCTATCACTCAACACTAAAACCAATTAAAGATACAGACCTAGACATCCTTTACCAATTAGGAAATAAATCAACAATCTTCCTAGGAGACTTCAATGCCCATCATCCTACCTGGGGCATTGCAGATAAACTAGACAACCATGGACAACTAATATCAGAGTGGATCGAAAAAATGACCTAATACTATTAAACAATAACCAACCAACTAGATACGACAAAATCCACCACACCATGTCGGCTATCGACTTAACAATATGTACGCCAGACTTAGCACAAAGTCTGATGTGGGACGTCCACCCAGTACCTCTAGGCAGCTACCACTTTCCCATAAATATAACCCTAGGAAATATAAAAATACCAAATCAAACCCCTAAACAGGAACCTAAATTTCAGTACAAAAACGCCAACTGGGACCAATTCCAAGAATTATGCAACGAAGCTAATCTAAACGATTTAGAAACAACAGACCCCGAAACATTCTGTCAAAACCTAACTAACTTCATAATCAACGCAGCCAAATCCGCAATCCCCTTCAAATCATCCAACCCAGGAAAACCCACTGTCCCTTGGTGGAATGAGGAAATAGAGCTAACTAGACTAAAACGCAAATCAGCTTTCAACAGAGCTAAACGAGACCCCTCTCATCTCAAAACAGCTCATGAACTAAACCACCAAGTCCAAAACCTAGTTAAAACTGCTAAAACCAAAAACTGGAAAAAATTCTGTGAGGAGCTAAACCACCACACCGACGCTAGGAAGGTGTGGCGCAAAATTCACGCCATCCGAGGCATCAAACGGCACAAAAAAAGCCCCAATATAAACAACTCAACTAACCCCAACCAAAAGGCCAACAACCTAGCCAAACACTTCTCTAAAGTTAGTAGCAACAGTAACTTCAGTAAGAAATTCCAAGATAAACTAAATAAAGAAATAAAATTCTCCAAAGAAATCAGACAAGACAACCTAGAAATAAATCAACCTTATACCATAGAAGAACTAAATCACGTACTAAACAATAGAAAAAAAGGAACAGCCCCTGGCCTAGACCTCACCTCTTACCAAATAATCAAGCACTTACCTACCAAACTACTCCAAACTTTACTTAAACTATACAACCTAGTTTACCTAAACGGACAGGTCCCATCCTCATGGAAGGAAGCTCTAGTAATCCCAATACCTAAACCAAATAAACCAGCAGATCAGGCAAACTCCTATAGGCCCATATCCCTAACCTCAAATCTCTGCAAAATAATGGAACTTATGACTAAAAATAGGCTACAGCACTACCTAGACCAAAACAACATCATAAACCCCGACCAAAGCGGCTTCACTCCTGGCCGATCAACTCTCGATAACCTCGCCCGACTAGAACAGGATATAAAAACAGGACAGCTAAACAAGCAATACACCATAGGCATATTCCTCGACTTCTCTAAAGCTTTCGATATGGTATGGCACCACGGGCTAATACAAAAACTAAAAAAAATAGGACTAAAAGGCCAAATAATAAACTTCATCCAAGATTTCCTAAACAATCGCAAAATTACCGTGGGTATAGACCATACGCTATCGGACCAGTGTCCCCTAGAAAATGGCACTCCCCAGGGCAGCATTCTCAGCCCAACCCTCTTCAATATAATGATAAATGATCTATTCGAGGGCTTATCCCCTAAACTAAACACTTCAAAATTCGCGGATGATGGAGCCCTATGGATCCGCACTAAAAGCATTAAAATGGCAGAAAACTTAATCCAAAAATCTCTAAATAAAATACAACAATGGGCAGACAAATGGGGCTTCTCCCTTAACTCAGATAAAACAACAGGAGTAGTATTCAGACATAAAAACATGAAACCTGCCTACCCAATCCTCCAGCTAAACAACCAAACAATCAAATTCCAAAAACAAACCAAATTCTTAGGACTTATTTTCGATCAACACCTCACCTGGGAGGCTCACGTCCAAAACCTAAAAACTAGATGCAGCAAAGACCTTAACACACTAAGATGTCTCACCGGCTCTAACTGGGGAGCCTCCAAAGATACCCTCCTCTCACTCTATACAGCACTAATAAGATCAAAACTAGACTACGGCTGCGCCATATACAACACCCTAAACCACTCTCTATCTAAAAAACTTGACTCAATCCAATACCAAGCCCTTAAACTAATTACACGCACCCAACATGGCACCTCCTACACCTCACTTCAGGCCCTTACAGGAGAAATGCCACTAAATCTACGCAGGGAACATCTAAGCCTTAATTTCTGGGCCGCGTCCCAAACAAACCCTCTCATCCAAAACCTAATTAACCAAAACATTAGCCCAAGAAACCAAGCTCTAGCTCGCAAACACCCCTTACTCACCCCAATATCCCAAAGAATAACTAACTACCTCAATGAACACCAAACTCAAAATCTTAAACAAAACTGCAAAAAATCAAATATCTTCACCCCTAAACTCAAAAAACCCCAAATAGACACAACACTAACTAACCAAATAAATAAACAAACCGACCCAAACATAGCTAAAACAACCACACTTTCATACATACACGAAAATTGGCCAAATTGGTGTCACATATACACTGACGGATCTTCAGACCCGATCTCCAAACACACAGGTTTCGGAGTCCATACCACACAACCAGTTATATCCACACAATCTTACCGACTCCCAAACAACCAATCTATATTCACGGCCGAACTTATGGGCATGGCCTCAGCCCTGCATAACCAACAATCAAAAAACCACAAAAAAATCCTAATTCTCACTGACTCGCTTAGTGGACTACAAGCCCTCCAAAACAAAAATACCAAAAAACGACCTAAATTAATAAACCAAATACTTAAAGCTCCAACGACCTAACAAAAGCAGGCAAACAAATAACCTTCTTGTGGATCCCCGCCCACGTAGGAATTTACGGCAACGAAAGCGCCGATAAAGCAGCTAAATTATCTCTCAAAATCCCAGAAATAAGCCTAAACCTACCCATCTCAAAATCAGAAATTAAAAGTGTAAACAAACAAAAAATAACCAAAAAATGGCATAATCAATATCAAAACTCAAATAGCCAAATCAAAAAAGTGCTCAGAAAACCACTAGCCAAACCTAAAATCCTTCACCCCTCTAAAAAAATTGACAGATTAATTACAAAACTCCAAACAGGACACACGAACCTAAATAACCACCTAAAACAACTTAAAAGACACACCACAGGCAACTGCCCCCACTGCAAACAACCCGAAACCACAGAACACGCACTCATCCACTGCACCCACTACCAAACACACAGAACCACACTACAAACCAACCTCAATCTAAATAAGGTTCCTACTCTAGATGAAATACTAAACCCTCAAAATAAACTAGAAAACTTCAAGGCCCTAGGCGTATTCCTAATCAAAACAGGCCTAATTAAGCGCATCTAAAAACTAATTAATCTACCAACCCAAAATCCAATAAACATACAAATACCCACCTCACCCAGCTCCCTTAGTTCCCTCCTCCATCCACCTCGGCATTTATTCCAAATTTTAAAATTTCAAAAATCGATATAAGCAACCCCTAAAAGCCCCCCTCTTGTGTTGCACACACCACTTTCACCCTTCTCGGAATACACTAAATGGTCTGGCCAGGCCCGTGTGCGAAATACGCTGCAGTCGGAAAGCGCACGTTAAATCTTCTATATCAGTCAGTCAGTCAATCATTCCGCTAGACATTCCAAGGCGGCAATTATCTTTGATCTTGAACTAGGGCCCGGTATGTGCGACATGTTATTGACAATCTATACTTTTTTGTGGTTTCTGCCAAACCGTCATTGGGCATATACTATTCCAAATTAAAAAGGCTGTTTTTGATATTTTTACCAACGTTTTATAGTGCCATTTGTCAAACATGTGAACTGAGAACTGAGCCGCGCAAACAATCTCATCAAGTGTATAATATGTCCATGTTAAAAAGGGGATTCAAACTGTAGTTACAAATTGTTTAAACGAAATAACACATATGCAGCTTCTTAATAAAAGATAGTTAGAGTTTCCGTGGCACTGCATGTTTGCAGAATAAATTACTTTTCATAGGCGATACAAAATCAAAATCTTCAGTTTTATTGTGACACTGCTTGTAGATATCACAAATAATCTTTGTTTATCAACATTGTTGTATTGGAGGTTTTTTAATAGTCGTATACCCGGGTGTCGCATTGTGCAGTTTTAGCAATGTACGGGGATCAAAAATCTAATAGATAACAACTAACGTTATACTATGTACATGCATACGGTAAAGCGATACGTTATTTTAGAACATATTTTAGAAATAATTGTCTTCTGTGTCAAAGGTTCTCACTATAACACTGCAGTTCACAACGAAGTGTGCTTTCTGCGACAGAGATAATAAAAGATGGTAGATGTAAATTGTTAGGTCCGTTCACAACTCTATATCGAACGTCTTATG